TTTTTTTTTTTTTTTGCAATTTTAAAATTTACTTTATTTTCCCCCTTTTTCGGTGTTTTTTCTTTCTTTTTAAAATTTTTAAGTAGGAAAAGAAAAATAAAAAAAAGTTGCGCGGGCCCGGCCCGGAACAAAGGCGAGGGGGCCGCAAGGAAGGAGGAGCCTTCCTCCCTCTCCTCCTCCTCTGTGCCCCTTCCCCCTGGCCCAGCGCCCTCCTCGCTCAGCCTCGCGCTTCACCCTGGCGCTTCACCCTTCTTATTCTGTCCCCCTCTCTTTCCTTCCTCCCTCCCCACTTACTATTGCTATTATTATTAATATTATTTAATAGACGTGTGCGCAAGGCACTCGGCTTCAAAGCAAAAAGCACCATGTGGGGCACTAACGCTTGGACCACGCAGGGAAGGAGCAGGCGGCAAGCGGGGCCAAGTGTCCCATCACGCGGGCGCTTCCACAAAATTTGCCCCGGGACTTGAGACATGGAAGATTCCTTGGGCTAATTTTAGGGAAGAAAAGAAGAAAAGTAGAGTTTATGCGTGCTGAGCGTTTTCGGTAACGTAGGCGTTCGTTAGGGCCTTCAGACTGGAGTGGATCTGTGATGAGCAGCGTAACGAAGAGCGCGTCTTGCTCGTGAAGAACACTCCCCAAGCGCTGCTTAATTAGCCTTTGCAGAGGCCAAAACTGCCACCGTTAGGCACAGTAACCATGAAGTCACCCGGTCCCCACAGGCCCAGTCCCCTGGTATCCCAGCTGGAGCAAGGTTGAGGCTGTGGAGAGGAAGACACCGCCAAGGAAGAAGAAAAGGAGGAAGTGCTCGAATAAACCCATTTCCCTGCAACTTTAGGCTTCACCTTCCCGGCCGCGAGCTAAGAACGCGCTTGGAAGAGAACTAAGAAAGAGCCGTGGGGGCCGCTCGCTTGGTGCCTGGGTGGCCGAGGGGGGACGCAGGGAGATCCCACCCCCGCTCCCCAAGGGCAAGCGGCGGCGCGCGGCCGCCGGCAGCGCACGAACGAGCGAGCGAGCGTGACCTCATCCCTCAGGCACGCGGCGCCGCGATTAGGTTAAACCAGCAAATATTTACGGCCGCGGCCGGGGCCGGGGCGCCTCGCTCCCGCCCACGGGGCGCTACCTGCTGCCCCCCACCCTGAAAAACACCCCGTTTATAACAGCCGCGTGGTCGCTGCAGCCCCGCGAGCTTGGAGAAGCCCTCGGAGAGCGGTATCTGGAAGCCCATCTGGAGCCGCGCTGCCCCCGGGCACGACCATTCCTGGCGGATCGCTCTCTAATCCGTGCTTATAGACCTCCAGAGATGCCCCCCCGGGACATTTTTGGGGCCAACTTTTGCTATTCTCGTCTTGCAAATTGTTTCCTTCACCGCGAATAATATTTTTTTCTTTCTTTCTTTCTTTCTTTTTTTAAAATTTTTGCACCTGCCTCAAAATGCTGGAAAAAAAATATATAAAAGCAGCTGCAAACACAAGTGCCAGGGAGCACCTTGAGTCTACATCAACAACCCCTCAGTCCCCCGAGAAGTCCTTTCCAAGCAAGGGAAACACCTTGCCCAAGGAAGAGGTGTCTCCAGCCTGCATTTCGCACTGATGCATTAGAAAATAAATAGGGTTTTTTTGGAAAAAAGGGGGAAAAAACATTATTTAACTCTGTCCGCCGCGGGTTTCCCGGAGCGGCTCCGCATGCCAGCGGAATATTGGCTCCTGGTTGCATTTTCCCTTTCTATCTACGCAAAGACGCAGACACACGTGAATTCAGGATTCCAAGGATTTCTGTAAGAAAAATAATAATAATAATAAAGCCACAAACCGAGCCCATCTGAGACCTTCCACATGGGACTTCCCCACCTCTGCAATGAGACACCCTGCGCTTGCAAGCGCACCTTTAACTTACAGTCTTTTATTGCATCTAAAAGGCAGTTTTTTGGGGAGGGGGTTCTGCAAACAGAGTCTTTCCTCAAGGCCAACATCCCACGGAATATTCCTAGAGGAATTCCCCGCGGAAGGACCGCGGGGCGCCGCTCCGCTCCCGCCAGCGGTGCCGCAGCTGGCGCAGCGCCGGCCCCTCCGCGCGCTCCAGCTCGCCGAAGCCCAGCTGGTTCAGCACCTCGTAGACACCGGCCCCGGCTGCCACCTGGAAGCACAACAGGGAGAAAACTCCAGTCAAACAGCTTAAAATGGCGGGGAAAAGGGGGGAAAAATAACACGGAAACGTGGAGTGCCAACGCGCGCTTGCAGGGGAGGAAGGATGCTAAGAAACTGCAAGGCTCGCGGCAGCATGCGGGGAAGAGGGTTTTCATGCTCCCGCTGCAAAACGCCAGCGCAAAAAAAGGAGGAAAGGAGAAGAGAAGCACCAACGTCCCTCCGTGTGCCGCTCCAGCGCTTTGCAAGCCACTTCTGCACTGTTTGCCTTAGCGTTCGCGGAGTTTGTTAGCTTTGGCCGGGCTCGGGGAGAGCCACAATGCGCCCTTGTTTCTGGCTGCGTGCCTTGCAAAAAATGTATAAATTAAGGGAAAGCATCATTGCAGAGCTTGCAAAAAAAGAAATGAAAGAAAATGGAAGGCATCATTGCAGAGCTTGCAAAAATATATAAGTAAATAAAAAGCACCATTACGTACCTTGCAAAAACAAATGGAAAGCATCATTGCATTCCTCGCAAAAAAAAGAAATAAATGAAAAGCAACATTGCAGAGTTTGCAAAAAAAAAAAGAAAAGAAAAAAGGCTACAAGTGAAGCACGAGAGGCCCCAGGCAGGAGGGCAGGCACGCGGGCCGCGCAGCGCTGCGGAGGATGCTCGACGGCAGCAATGCAAACAAGGACATAACCGGGATGCCAGGGGCCGGGGCCGGGCTCGGCGCGAGGCGGGCCGGGCGCTGACGCTGAGCCGAGCTGGCAGCGGCCGCTTTCATCTCTCGCGGCGCAGATCAAACATGCCAGCGCGAATTAGCGGCGCCCGCGTGGGACGCCAGCGCAGCCGGGCCTTTCCCACCGCCCCGCGAGATAAAGGGGGAAGATGCAGGGAAAAACGGGGGCGAAGGGGCAGCAGCGGCTTTGGTGAAGCAGGAGGTGCCCTCGCGGCGTGCGGGCAGCCGAGCTCGCGCTGCTCAGAGCAAGCAGATTCCTCCTCCTCTTCCAGGGAATCCTGCTCGTGCAAAGAGCCTTTGGGCTCCAGCACTGTTGGGCCATTGGAAAAGCAACCCCTGGAGACTTTTTGGTGCTGGTATGGGAGAAACCCGCGGCTCACCTGGCGCATCCAGGCGCTGAAGGGCCGCTGCCATGAGTCCTTCTTCTCCAGGTGCAGGTAGGCGTTGAAGAGGATCAGGTAAATGTACCGCTCCAGGTACTGCAGGCTCCTCAGCTGCAAGATCTGCCTCTCCCGCTCCTCCTTGGCCGCTTTTCCCTGCAACGGAGCGCGAAGATGCTGTGGAGCGCCCCGTGGCCAGCAAGCTGCGGGAGGCGCCCATCGCAGACATCCGTGCGAGCTATTTCCGTTGGGAAGCAAAGGGAATCTACTGCTATGGAAAAGCCAAGGTGAGCCTACATAGCTCTCCATCCTCGTGGCCTACTCAAATGATAACTTTGGTGGGAGGACTTTTTGTGCCAGGAAGCATCATTTCTACGGTAATAAGCCAGCCCTCTTCATCGTCATCCTGCCATACAGCCAAGCCAACCTCACGGGTTGAGTCTCTCTTGCAAGCCCAAGAGCAGGAGGCATCTCCCATGGGTTACAGAGAGGTTTTGCATGCCTGCAACACGCCAACAGAGCCAACCAGCTTGAATCAATGTCAAGAAGATGGTAGAGCCAAGTCCACCCTTTGCCAACTCTACAAAAGGTGCTCACGCAGTGGGTTTCTAAGCTGCTGGGACCACTCATGGTGCCTCTCCCCCTTAGCACCCCTTGCCCAGTTGCACCCACAACATCCTTGGGGCTCCCCAAAGCCACCCTGCTTGGTTTTTCCGCTGGGGACAGCAATCAGTGCCTGCTTCCAGCTCGCTCCCGCGGTGGCTTGGCAGCTCAAGCTCTCATTAGCTCGTGGCTTCCAGCAAGCAAGAACTTCCCCTCCGCCGTGCGGACCTCAAAAATAGACCAGGTGCTGCCATGTGCACAGCGTGGGCTGGTGCCCCTCACTGGGACAAGCCAGGAATAGCCCTTGGGCACTTCCCCAGGCCACAATTGCTGCTATTTTTGAAGAGGTCCTAAGGGTCAGCATCCCACTGATGCTGACCTGAACCTGAACCTGAACTCAGTCTGGGTGCAGCATCTCTGGGAGAAAAGAGGGCAAAAAAAAAAAAAAAGAAAAAATATATAAACACTATAAACACTCTAAAATCCCAAGTCTCATCCAACTACCGGTCCAGCTCATGCTCAGGATCTGAAAGCCGCCAGCATCCCGCAGCTCTGGAGAAGCAAGCTTTGATATCTGCTATCCAAAGCAGCTCCTATGGTCTCTTGACGTCGAAAAAACAGCAATAATGGGCAAAGCAGAGCTGTCGAGTGTGCTGGCAAGTGTGAGACCAATGGATTCGAGGCTACGAGGCAACTTTTCCATCAACACCCAACATATGCAGTCCTGCTCGGGACCTATGGCTACAACGATGGTTCAAGGTGGCCCTCCAAAAGCCATGGCCTGGGAGCGTTTTATAAATATATAAATACGCTTCCAGGAAAAATAAAAAGAAAACACACAAAAGGAGGGAAGCACTAAAAACAGCGTATACCACTCTGGAAATATTCTTAGACCGACCGTGGCAAACCGACCGCTGCTTTTTATACCGAATTACCCTCTTGTTGGCACCCCCTGGCTGAGCACCATCCTCCCGAGGAGCTGGTATGTGCAATTAAGGAAAAGGGAGACGCTCAAAAATGCTGCAGGACTCCAGGTTTCAAGCAAAAGTCCCCGTCACAACAGACAAGCCATGATGGGTGAAAATCCCCAGAACAAGCAAGTCTGCAAAATTCAGCACCTGAACGTAGCGCTAATTACCACGCAGGCAAACCCCGCGCTCCCCACCTGCATCGACTCCGGGTCGACGGCTCCCGGGTCTTTGGCGAGACGGATGCAATTCCCCCCAAATCCTGGGGGAGCGGCAGAGCCGGAGCCGTGCGGACTGGCTCTGCCCTCTGCCGGCAACGCGGCGCTGGAGCCAGCACCGTCCGTCTGTCCGTCTGTCCATCCACCCATGGGGATGGAGCATGATGGCAGCGCATCCCCACACCGAGGTGGAAGTTTTCCCAAAAGGGGGGATTTTCCGTCGCTTTCCTCACCTGGCGGTAGGTGCAGATGATGATCTCACGGAGGTGGTAGTGCATGGGCGTCATGGTCTCGCTCACAGTGTCCAGGGCCATGTCCACCTCCTTCTTCATGCGGTGGCCGTCAGGCAGGAGCTGCACCACTTCCATCACCACCTGCAGGGCGGGCGGAGGTGGCCCATGGCGTCAGGTCACCCCATGCCACGCGTGGGCACCCCATGCCAAGCATGGGCACCCTGCACTTGGAAGCGTCATGAGAAACCAATACGACGCCCTGGGTACCAGGGCCCGGGGCTCTCACCTCAAACTCTCCCTTGGTGTACTTGGCGTCGGGCACGCTCACAATTTCGTCCTCGCTCATCTCGGGGATGCCCTGCAGCAAGCAGAGAGGGTCAGGTGGACCCAGGCAAGGTCCAGGGGCACCTCCTGCAAGACCAGCCTTCCCCACACACCCTCTGCGCTGCCTGCTCCTAGATGGAGCTCAGCTCAGAAAGCGGAGCTTGAGGACAGCTTCCACTCTGGGTCCTGCTGCTACCTACGTTGAAATGCCACAGCGTGAGGACAGCGATGACCATGGCGGTGGTTGTCCTCCCCCGGCCGCTGTGGCAGTGGAAAACGAAGGCTGCCTGGGAGTCCTCAGCCAGGCTGCTCTTCATGGCCTCCAGCAGCCGGTCGAAGTCCTGCCGAGAGGAAATGTGGGCAGGTGGGACGAGGGGCCTCCAGGACTGCCTGTATCTCCAGGGCTATCATGGGTGGACCTGCTTTCCGGAGCACTTTCCCATGTCACCCAGGAGCCACCACGTGAAGATTCAAGAGAGGCACAGCAGCAGCCTGCTGGCAGATCACCCGCCAGGCCCTGCTCTGCCATCCCTCCATCACCTGCTCCTTGGGAGCGCAGAAGTCGGGGATGGGGATTCGCCGGTACGTCAGGCCCTGGCACGTGGTCTTCTGCTGGTTGAAGACCTCCTGCGTGGTCGAGCAGCTCTTGAACAGCTTCATCTGCTTCTCCGCCTCCAGGTAAACCTCCAGCCACTTCTGGCACTTCAGCAGGTCATTCTTCAGGGTGGACTCTAGTTTCTGCAAAGGACAGGGACGCCATCACCGTAACACTCGCCCCTAACGTCACCATTTCCCATATTTAAGAAATAGAGCCCGCAGACACGCACACTTTCTGCCTCAAAGGCACCTTTAATCCCAAAGCTGATGTGAACATGGGCTCTCAGAAAGCAGAGGGGACACGGTAAGGCCACTCCATAAATACTCTTTACGCACAGCACCCAACATTTTTTTTTTCCTGCCAACAACTCCTGCGTTGCCATTCTCCAAATGGATGCTTCCATCATCCATTTCTCGCCACTACCCCAGCACCCTGCAGCCAACACAGAAGCAGAGCCCCAGGGACTGGCCACCACTTCTTCTGCTCGGGACACAGGTCCACGTTGGTGCCGGTCCTCAGGCAGCTCCACCAGACTGGGAAACCTCCCTGGAGAGATGTGAGCCTCCGGAGGAGGCTCCCTCCGGGCCACCGGAGCAAGGCTGTGGCGTTCCCCACGTGGCTGTGAAGTTCTTGGCAGAGGAAGCGCCTTCACTCACTATCTCCTTTCAAAGCCCAGCTGGGAACATCTGTTCTCCTTTGCCCGGGTGCCTTTCACAGCCCCATCCAAGGCACTATAAATTCCTCGTGGCAGGAGCTCCGCTCCGCGCTGACACTGGGTAAACTATTACACAGTTACAATAAAGCTACGAGGAGTCATTTATTTACGCTGCATCGCAAAGAGCAGGTTGGCCGCTTGGTTTCCCATCGGCCAGGGTGTCCTGAGCTTCCAGCAGATACGGAGCCAAGCACAACATGCGATAGGATTGCTTCCCCTGGCCGCTAAAGCGAAAAGAAACCAAAACAAGGAGCTCCGTGGGGTAGGGAGCATCAAAGCCTGGTTTCCTGTGGACATCTCCCATGGGTACTCCTTGAAGGGGGAGGTTAGCCTTTCCCTCGGGGAGGACATGACCTACGCCTCTGTCCCACATCCAGTAATTTATCTGCATGAAGCTTGCAGGAACTTCATATGAGAGATCTTTCCCTCTGTCAAATTTGGTTGGATTAAGTCCTTAGAGGGAGAAAGGGAGGAGGAGCACGAGGGAGGCCCAGGCAAGGAGGACAAGGTTTTGGACACGAGTGAACGGCCAAGCCGAGGTGTTTATACAGGTGGTGTCTTCCAAGAAGTCCCAGATTCGTGAGTGTAAGGCTCCGTTGGCCCATGGCCAACGCTTCTCCTGGCTGGGATTAGGGCGACAGATCTGTGGCCCTCCCGGCAAGCAGGGCTCACCTCCAGCTGCTCGGGTGAGGATGCAGGCACCGTGATGAGCTGCTCGAGGCTCCCCGGTTCCCTGAGCGTGTAGATCTGTTCGTTCCCTTCCAGGACCACCTCCTCCCGGAGGTTTATCCACAAGATGTGCGAGTGCTTCCTCTTGCCATCGGTCAAGTACCGCAGGACATTCCCAAGAGCCTAGTGGAAGCAGTAGCAGAACTGAAACCCCGGCACCTCCTCCTGGCACAAAGCCCATGGGTGGCCCGGCAAGCAGCCCCTCACCTTGGAGCTGGGCTGTGCCGTGCCGTAGACGGACATCTTGGGCACCCGCCGGAAGTTGGCCACGTTCATCTCCTTGATGGTGCTCAGCATATCCGGGGAGAAGCGCTCATCCGCCACCTGCAACGGGACAAACCCAGTGCTGAGGCAACCCACAAGCAGCTCTGCACCTCCTCATCCCACACCGAAAGACCCACAAGTGGAGCACCAAGAAATGTGGAGGCCCATCTACATGAGCATCCAAGGTTCTCCACACGGGTGCTGGTAGATCAGCTGTGGTCCCTAGGTGCACAGGGAGTCTCTGCCCACCCATCCAGCTTTCTAAGGGCAGAGGTAGCAGACCGCGACCTCTAGGGAAAGCATCTGCCCAGCAATGATGGAACATCTTGCTCCTTCCACCCAATCCAACCTCAATGCTGAGGGTGCTGCAGGCAAGGGCTTCCAGGGCAAGCATCTAAGGTGCCAAGCCATTGCCAGCAGATAACGGGCAGGAGCAAGCCCTGACCCAACAGAGGAGCAGCACGTGTACTCACCAGCACCCGCGTCCCCTTGGTTAGGAGCTCCGCCGTCACGCTGAGCTCCGAGACGTTCATGTTGGCCAGCAGCCGGTAGAGCTCGGGGTGCCGGCACATCCACCTGCTGAAGCTGAGGGCAAAGCCCAGGGGGTACTGCCGCCGGGGGCAAAGCGGGGACGCCACTGTCAGCAGGGTGCCCATGGCCAGCCCCACAGTTGGCCACCGCGCTATCCATCATTCCTTCCACCCATGGCAACCCAGGAGCCGAGACGCTTCCTCCCTCCTCAACGTCCCATCGCCCAAGCAGTGGGCAATGCATCCCCTTGGTTATGTAAAGCAAGAGGGGAAGGCAGTTTTCACCTGCTCGTGAAGGTAGTAGTCGAAGGCGATCAAGTAGAAGTAGCGCTCAAGGCTCTGCAAAGTCCTCTGGAGGAAATACTCTTTGGTGCTGTTACCCTGAAAGCAAAGACAACGCAGGTGGCACATGGGACATGCAACATCACCTCAAGCGGGACGACCTAATGCTACCAACACCCCAAGCAGGCTTGCAACATCACAAACCCTAAGTGGTGGGACAGCACGAAGCTCCTTTAAAGTCCCTGGAGACCACAGCTTGTCCAAAGGAGGCTTACATGGCACCTGTGAAGACTGGTCAGTTGGCCATGCCAATGAGGCCATTCTATGCTCCAGATGAAAATCCTCCTCCAAGATGCTATGGAAAAAAAAGCTCTCCCAAGGCAGCAAGAAGGAGCCTTGGCCATGCAGCAGGAGGATACAGCCTTGGCAGGCATCCCCGGGAAGTCGCTGACATTATGTAATTGAGTCATGAATATTTACTTGTTGCCGCAAGGCAAATCCGGCCCATGGTCATTCATCGTGGGGCAGGGAAACATGCTCGTTAGGGAAAGGCGAAACGAAGCCTGGAGCCATGGAAGCAGTCCAGGCCTTCGGCATCACCAACGGAGAAGGGCACAACCAAAGGGGATGGACAATGGGGTCCTGCAGGGTCTCCTGGTGCGCACCAAGATCTGGCTCAGCAACCATCTCTCACCCATTGCCATCACTGAAGGCCTACTCAACACCAGGCAGAGAGACCATCGCAACATGAGATACCCCCTGAGCGCCCAGCAAGGCTTCCCCTGACCCAGGCAGGACCTCGGGCTACGCACGCAACCTTGGGAGGCCCCACCAGCCCTACGGCGTCCACGCCGCTTCCCGACGCCGCGAGAAGCGCCGCTTCCCTCTCCCCTCGCACGCGGCCCGCGTCCAGCGAGCACATTTTCCTGGCCCCTCGCCACTGTTTAAAAAGTGCTAGTGCCGCAGCCGAGCTTCAAATAAACACTCCTCAACGCTAATTTACGGCAGTCCCCGGCCATTTATTTCCCAGCGGCAGGGGCGACGCACACCAGCAGACCCAAAAACCCGGCGTCTCCCGTGAAAGACCAAGCGAGCGCCCCTCGGCCTCGCAAACCCGGCCCGGCACCGCTTGCGCTCCGGCTGTGCGTTCAGCCCTCCAAGGGAAAAATTAATCTCCAGCAAGGCTGGGAGAAAAGGGGAAGGATGAGACAAGTGCATCTGGGGTCTCTTCGGATAGCCAGGACAACATTGGTCAGGAGGGGGAAAAAATAAAAGGCAAGAGCACCAGGGCCTCCCAGGTTTTCCTGGCCTTGGGAAGCTTCCGGATCGCAGGAAGTTTTGGATTTCCATAATTTACATTCTTATTATTTGCTCATGCAAACATTTCCATAAATTAGAGCGGGGCTCTGAAGCTGCCACCGCGCCGCCTTGGCTCACAGAGCCGGTCGCAGACATAAATCCCACCCCGGACCTTGTATCGGGGTCCCTGAAGGCAGCATCACAGAGCCCGAAGCCTCCCTAGGAGCCCTGAGTGCTGCATAAAAATGTGCACTTTCCTCCAGGCCGGTTGGCTGCTAATCCTCCGCGAAGAGCCCAGTCCGTACCTGGATCTGGTAGTCTTCCCCGATGCCTTCCAGCTTCTTCTTGTATTCGTAGATGGCTTCCTTCATGTCGTGCATCTCCGAGCAGCAGGCGATAGCACCGTCCACCTTGCAAGGACCAAGAGGATATGGGGCGACGTGACACAGGGCAGCCACCTGCACCCTCTGCCCATCTCCTGCCCCATAGTGGGGGCTCACGCGGAGCGATTCAGCAGCTTCATCACCCACAACTCACCTTTACAGACCACCACTTACCTCCTCGACCATCTGTTGACCTTTTGGTACCATCTCAATGAAGGCCTGAATGACCCGAAACCTTTCCCTTGTCGGCATTTTAGCTGCTTGGGGGAGGCTGGAGATCCAACAGAAGATCATCAAGGTGTGAGCGACGAGACCAGAGTCCTCACCTCATCCCCCCTCCACCTTCCTTGCACGTTCGGGTCAGCCCAGGCCACCAGAAGGTGACAGAGCATAAGGGAAGCCCTGGAGGTAAGCCCTTACTCAGGCTTCGGCGTTGCTCCCTTGTGCTGGAGGAGGACGAGGGTGCCCATGGCCATGGCCAAGTTGGTCCTGCCGACACCGGTCTGACAGCTGAAGAGCAGGGCCGGCGGGGGCCTGCCAGGCTCGCGGAGCAGCAGCACGTTGGGGCTCTCCTAAGGAGAGGAGACACCAGTGCGCGGAGGCGGCAAATGTGGGCACAGTGGCTCCCGAAACACTCCTTGACCGCTACACAGGGCGCCTGGGAGCTGCAAGCCCTCCGGGGGCCCGCCCTCACAGACCTTACCCTGAGGAACTGCATGAAACCATCAAACTGGGCCTCGAGAGGAGCACCATCCACAGGCAAGGGCAGCCGATGGTACCTGCCAGCACAGGGAAGAGCCGCTCGTTATGGGGAACGGGCCGAGAGGACCTCTGGAGGACCTCCCCTCCGCATGGCATGGTCAGAGGTCCACCTCCCAGGGGCACCTGTAGGACGGCTGCGTGAAGATGGGCCTCCTGTAGACCTCCTCTGTCACGTGGACGTCCTCCTCGCCCCGGATCCTCACGGCATGCGGCTCGTCCTTGAAGTGCTCGATGTCGTTTTAGACATAGTAGGTGCCCTCGCTCAGCTGCGCAAAGTCGTGGAGCTTCGAGAGACGAGCGCGGCCGTCACAACCCACGGCCGTCACAGCCACCGCCGCCTGGACGCGTGGGGACGTCCCCCTTGGTCACCTCTTTGCGAATGGTGAGCTCCAGGTTTTCCACCTTAACCCCCCTCTGGAGGCTGTGCAGGTTTTCGTGCAAGTTCTCCTTGCCGCGTGGCGTGTAGGGCATGAAGTCACTCTCCACGCGCAGGAAGACCACGGGCTCCTCGCGGACGCAGAAGAAGACACATTCCTGCAACAACCCCAGCACGCACCAGCCGTCAGCCTTCCCAGGGGCTACACCAAGAGTGGCGGGCTGGTTGCACAGAGGGTTTCCAAAGCCCGTCCCATCCTTGTAACAGGTTGGCCAAGAGCTCTGGGATGGAGTGTCTTGGCCACTCTGCCCAGAGTTGCTCATCTCTTGGAGCACCTCGAGACACGATGACACTGGGAGATGCCTCAAGGCAACTACACATTGCCCCTCCAGAAGATGCAACGCAAGACGGGATGTCCCCATCCCACACCCACCTTGTGTCCCTCCTTCTGGATCTTCTGCAGCATCTGCCTGAAGCCTTTGAGGCTGGGCTGCCCCATGCCAAACACGGCGTGGCCGCCTTTGGCTTGCCGGAAATTCGGAGCGCCGCAGCTGCCGGTGGTGTTCAAGACGTCCAACTTACTGTACACATCGCTAACCAGAAAATATTTGCCCTGCAAGGGAAGGGGTGGAGAGAAGAAAGGGAAAAGCTGGAGCGGGACGCAAGTGCCGCGTGTAGCAACCGCGAGCGATCTTCGGTGCACTGGGGAGCGAGCAGTGAGATTGGTTGAAGGAAGATCTTCCAACGATCAGTCCAATGTCTCGCAACACATCCCAGCAAGGTCTCCCCAGGCAACCAGGACATCCCGGGCACCGTTGAGGGCATCCCCATGGGCACCCACCTGCACGAGGTAGTGCTCCGGCGTGCTGTCCGAGATGCGGCCCACCGCGTAGTTGGCCTTCAGCAGCTCATCGTGGATCTGGAACTCTTCCCTGCAGTTGTACCTGCAACGGCACCGCTCGGAAAGTGCCCGTGGTGGCCGGGGGCACATCCCCGCGGGAGGAGGAGCAGCAGCGGGCACTTACGTGATGACCACGGGCGCCACCTTGTTGGTGATGATGGACTTGGCCTTGCTGTTGTGCAGCCCCGCGGCCTGGAAGGAGGGGATGCTCGAGCAGCGCTGGTCCTCCATGGCGCTGGCGCCGCGCGCGGCCTCGAAGGCAGCCGCCGACACCGTCTGCTGGGCCGTGCTGGCCGTTGTCCCCATAACCACGGGCAGCTTCATGGGGGGAGAACAAGGGAGAGAGGACGGCGCGCTCAGCGGGCACCACCGCCTCCCACCTTCAAAAGCTCCATATTTTGCTCAATATTTTGTGCGCGTCTCTGTGTGATTTGCCCCTAAGCCTCCCAACGCATTCCCGTCTCTGTTCCTTATTGCAGGACGCAACCAGGCCCTCCAGGACGTCTCGCGCTGGGCTGGAGCACTGTGAGCGTGCACACGTGTGTGTGCATGTCCATGTACACGTGCCAGGTGCCCACATGCCGAGATTCGGGGGAAAAACAGCAGAAAATGGTTCAAATGGCAGCAGCACCTTCCCACGAGCGCCGGGGCCGGGTTCCCGGGGCAGAGCCGCGAACTGGCGGGGGC